GAACCACTGTGCCATCATGACACTTTTTAAGTGTAGGAGGTGATTACAATACCAGGGATCCAGGAGAATACAATATAGTCTGCACCAGGATTAGGACAATACATGTGTACCAGCTGATTACAATGTAAGTGTGCCAAGTGATTATGATGCAAGTGACCCAGAACCTGAATTAGTTCCTCTCTGGAGTTAAGTGTTATGTGTAGGAGTGTACCTTGTCTCTTGTCCACAAGGAATTATTTAACCAGTACATTCTGGTTCCTGGGGAACAGACAGAAAGCTGAGCCAGTTTCACCTGATGATGATTGGTCTACAAGATAAGAGAGGGACCTTGATGAGGAAACCCTTGGACTTCTTTTTTTTAAAAACTAAACTTCCAGATTAAAACAAGCTTGGAAGCAGGAGTGGCATCCACTTCTGAAATGGCTTGCCTCCAGAAATTCTATGAACAGTGCTCAGGTCTTTCATTCATAGGGTTGCTATGAGTCGTCTACAACTCAATGGCACCTAACAACAATAACAATGACAACAAAGAGAGAGCTACGGTGGTTTAGTGGACAGAAAGTTATGTTACCAAGCTCAAGGTGGGTGATTTTAATCTGCGGCCCTCAGGCCTGGTTTAAATTCATTTTTGTCAGACATTCTTTTAAGTGGTATAGCATTGGTCTGTGCATTGCTGTACAGAGGTAACTCATGGTTGCTGTGATGCTAAGCACCGTGAAACTGATGTGACAAATGCAATAATGGTTACACATGGTGGACAGTGTTTGGTGGAGCTTCCTGATTAAAACAAGCTTTGAAGCCGGAGTGACATCCACTTCCAAAATGGCTTGTCTCCAGAAACTCTATCAACAGTGCTCAGGTCTTTCGTTCATAGGGTCACTATGAGTCCTCTACGACTCGACGACACCTAACAACAACAACAACAATGCTTTATTGGTTGAAAATGGTAACTGTTTCAAAGCTGAGGAAAAGCTTGAGCTCTTGATAGAATCTGACTAATTGCAATTCTTTTACAAATCACATGCAGGACTAGTTAACACTTGTTGTCAAGTGCCATAAAGTCTGCTCCAAATCATTAGCAACCCAAGTAGAACAGAAGGAAACCCTGAGTAATCCTGCTACAGCTTCACAGGTTCTTTTTCTGATGCCTATGGTTGCAGTCATTGTATAAACAATCTTGTTAAGGGCCTTTTTCTCTTTCTCAGACCTCCCACCTTTCCCAAAATGATACTTTTTCCTAGAACTGGCTCCACTTGAGATGATCTTTCATCATCCTTGCCTCTAAGGAGCTCCCTGTTTGTACTTCCTAAAAGACAAATTTGTTCTTGTTCTTCTCGTAGTCATAGAGGTACAAGAAGCAGCTGTCCTAAAAAAACCAGAGCTACCACACATATATATGCAAACCCATGTTTATTGCTGCAGTGTTCCAAGAGCAAAGAGATATAATCTACCAATGTACCCATCAACAAATGAATGGATAGAGAAGCTGTGGGATATTCACACAATGGAATACTGTGCAGCACTAAAAAACAAGGAACTCATAAAATATTATACAAAATGGAAGACCCTGGAAGACATTATGCTGAGTGAAATATCTCAGTCACAAAAAGACAAATAGTGCATAATGCTACTGTTATAAAATTAGTGATATGAGGATTGGGTGGAAACTAAGAAAAGAAGGGATAAATAATGAACATCGCATTGAAACAGATGACAGAAATAACTGTTTATAAAGAATATATGATTAGGCTTTATTTGTATGACAGCAGTCGAGAATAAAAGGTGCGTAGCAAAGGGGACTAAACTGTGCAACTATGAATGAATGGAAATCTAAGTTTTATGCAAAGTTTTGTTAAAATCACGATAAACAATTATTTATAAAAAAGAAGCAACTGTCCAAACAGAACAAGGGAACACTGCATGGTTTAAAATCAGGAAAAGGTGCATGTTATGATTGTAACCATTATCCATAAGTACTCAATTTGTATATAGTCCAAATCATGTGACAACCTGGTCTATATAAAGGAGAATGTGACATCAGAATTGGAGGAAGAGTCATCAACAACCTAGCTTGAAGAGAATGAAGAAGACTTGAAGCAAATAATGAAGATCAAAGGCTATGGATTACATCTCAATATCAAGAAAACAGAAATCTTCTCCATTGGATCAATAGGCAACATTATGTTGGATAGGAAAAAGATTGAATTTGTCAATTATTTTATTTGCTAGGATCCATATTCAACACCCAAGGTGGCAGCAGTCAAGAAATCAAAAGACCTGTTGCATTGGGGAAATCTGCTGTCAAGGACTTCTCCAAAGTATTTTTGTTGTTGTTATGTGCTGTCAACTAGCCTGCAACTCATAGCAAACCTGTGTACAAGAGCTCTGAAGCCTACCCTGTCCTGAGCCTGTCCCACTGACTCCAACCTACCACATGGCCTCAGTTACTTTATCAATCCATCTCATCCAGGGTCATAGTCTCTCATTTGTTGTCTCTCCACCCTGCTGAGGATGATGTCCTTCTCCAGTGACCGTCCCTGCTGGCCACATGCCCAGAGTATGTGAGACGGAGCTTCAAAATCCAAGCCTGCAAGAAGAAACTTGGTTTCACCCTCTCCAAGACATATTTATTTTCTTGGTAGTCCATGGTATGTTCAACACTCTTTTCCAGCACCACAAGTCAAAGGCATCAATTCTTCTGTCATCTTTAGTTCAGTTCTCTGATGTATAGCGAGTAATTGCAAAGACCATGGCCTGGATCAAGCACACCTTCTTGGTCTCTAGACTGACATTGTTTCTTGGTATTCTGGAAGGTCCCTGACACCATATTTTCCTGGTGCAATCCGTCTTTGATTCTTTAACTGCTGGTGTCAAGAGTGTTGATTGTGGAACCAAGAAAGCTGTAATTGTTAAAAACCTCAATCTCTTCTCCATCTACCGTGATTTAAAGACTAAGGTGCATTATTTTTATCGTAGGAGTATACAATGAGGATTGCAGAGTGGATTATATTTGGGGGTAGGGGGTGGGGTTTGGGGAGGTGCGGGGGGATTGTGTACCAATGAGGGAGTTTTTCTTTTGCTTTTCAAGGAGAGGAGCAAATGGGGGGGGGGGGGGGAGTGGTTTGTGCGGGGAGAAGGGTGCAACAATGAATGAATGGAATCCCAAAATCTCTGTAGATGTTCATTGAAATGAAAAATAAACAACCTAAATTAAAAAAAAAAGAAAAAAGAAAAAAGGAGAGAGCAAATAACATGAAAAAAAAAAAAGACTAAGGTGCACATGGTCCAAACAATGGTATATTCAATTGCTTCCTATGTGTATAAAAGTTGGCCAATGAATAAGTATGACCTAAGAAAAATTGGTATCTTTGAATTTTGGTGTTGGAGAAGAGTAATGAATACCCCATTGACAGTCAAAAGTACAAGAGTTTGCACCTAGGCACAGTTAATCAATCAGTCTTCCAATTTTATTTATCCTATGCATCTTATGCCTGGAATTATTCTGGGAATTTTGGTGACTTAATGGTAAAGAATTTCACTGTCATTGCAAAGGCTTGATGTTTGAATCCACCAGATACTCCATGGGAGAAAAATGGGTAATCAACTCCCATCTAATGTACTGCCTCTGAAAACCTACTAAAGGGGCTGCTATGGGTTGGTTCTTGACTATATGGTACATAACAACATGAATTAAGATAGAAGAAAATGTTAGTCCTTCTTATGTTTACATATGAGATGAAAAATAATAATAAAAACCTAAATTATTGGCCTAGCATGTTAGAAGGTGAAAAGTACTGTGGATGATAGACATGTATAGATGACAGGAAGGATTAGGTTAATGGTGGTAAGATGTGTTGAATGAGGATAGCTGTAATGGTGGCACAACATGAAATATGTCATAAAAACCATTGAGCTATAAATGTGGGAAATAAAAAGGTATTCAAATGTGGAGAAGAACTGAAAACTTAAATATGGTGATAAGGGAAAACCTCATCTTTATTATGATAAATTTGACATTCTCTTACATTTTCTATTTGCCTTTATGTTAATACTAAATTAACCTTACCAAGATTTGTTTTGGTTTTATGATTTTCTTACTTTTTAAATATGTAATGATTCTCCATTCCCAGATAAAGGGCTGTTTTTCTGGCACTCAGAGTCCTTACCATGAGACTATTCTCTGTAACCAGGAAACATCTTGTTCCCTTCCATCTCTATGCCTGTGCTCCAGCTGACCCATCCTCTTATCCATGGCCACTCTTCACATTTCTCTATCCTTACAAGTTCAGTTCAAATTTTTTTCCACCCAGCAAAATCTTCCTTGATTTTTCAGCCAAAAAAATTATTTTTGCTCTTAACTCCCACAATATATTATGCTATGAATACAGTACTCAACAGCTACATTGTAGTGATAAAAATACTTTGTTCTTTTATTGGATTGTAATTTTAGAAAAGACAAGAACCATTTCCTTGAATATCTCCATAGCAGTTAGCTAGTGTTTTTCAAGAACAATCCTAAGTAGCTAAGTTTCTCAACATTTTTGCCATAAATAAAAAATGGGAAAATGGTTTTAAGAGCAGGAAGCCAGCTCATGTCCTTAAAATCTGACTGTTCCTAAGAAGGAACTGTGTGTTCATGAGGCTGTTAAATGGATGACAGATAACCATGAAACACAAAGAAAGTGTTGTCATTATTAATTTTGTTCCAGTCAAATCTAACAGGTTAAATTTAAGTCATGAGAATAATAGACAAGTGCTACGATTCTTTGTGCCTTCTACCATGTTGAAAACCAAATTTTATCCATATTTAGAGTATAACTTATATAGGGAGATATTCTTTGTAACATATTTTGAATACTGAGCAAAAGGACACATTAAAATTGTATCTGTAAAATTACACAAGACACGTCATAATCTAAATGAGGGAGCTTGTTTTAGCAATTGCTTTTTCAAAGAAACTCTGCTTTTTTCCTGAAAGATTTGGATCATTTCCCTTCCAGCCCAAATCTCACCTGGCGAGATATGCAGCACTTGGTTGTCTGGACCTCTGAATATGACCCACTGGCCAATAACCCTGGGTGGAAAAAGAATGGTGCAGGCTTGATGGTGAATAGTCGGTTTGGATTTGGGTTGCTAAATGCCAAAGCTCTGGTAGATTTAGCGGACCCCAAGATCTGGATCAGTGTTCCTGAGAAGAAAGAATGTGTTGTGAAGGACAATGACTTTGAACCTAGGTAAGTCAGGACATTATAAACAAGTTTATGTCCATGACACTACGCAGTTGTGGTGTTTGATGCTCTGCTTATTTATTTATTTTATCATCAATATATTCATAGGGGGAAATGGATTTACCAGCATACTCTCTGGGTCTCCGTGGGAAACCATTGAGTGATCAAATCACTCTAGCATATCTGCACTAAGTGTAAAGCACTCTGCTATTTCACAGAACACAAAGAAAAACCACTGCCACTTAAATTATTAACAATTATTAATTTTTAAAATTAATCTCAAATTCACAGATGATGAAATTTTACAAAATGCATCTTAAAATTGTGAAGGTAGAATACTTTCCAAACAATATTATCCAAAATCTGCTTCCCAAATAGCTTCTCTTCAGGATTCTACCCTCTGCCAAAAGGAAAAAAAAATTACACTGTTTTTACATAGATATTATTTATCCACATATCATATCTGACTATAGAAGCAGAGTCTGGTGAAATTGTTTTTCAATTTCCATCAAGATATTCTTAATCAAATGTATTCTTAATCACCTTAAAGAGGCACTTAACATGAAATATTCAAGGGTAGAAGATTTGAGAGACTGATAATCTGAAGGTCTTTTAGAAGAAACCATTTATTAACAAAGTTTTTTGATACTGTAATTACTTTTGGACATCTGAGATAGACCTGCTAGAATTCATTTCATGAAAAATAATTTTGTATTCAAGTATGTGTACTCTTTACCAAATTATTAACTGATAAATTGTATTTATACCTTATCCTCAATTGGGTTCTACTCATTGTAAGGAAAGATAAGACTAGTGATGTAGCTGGTCCAAACGGATGTGTACATGCGTGTATAAAATGCAAGAAAGAAGGGGTTCACTTTATTTAATGATTTCTTAATAAATACATTTAGAGCTCTGAAAGCTAATGGAGAAGTTATTATTGAAATTCCAACAAGAGCATGTGAAGGACAAGAAAATGCTATCAAGTCCTTGGAACACGTGCAATTTGAAGCAACCATTGAATATTCGCGCAGAGGGGACCTTCACGTCACTCTCACTTCTGCTGCAGGTAAAAAGCAAAACTTAATTCCTACTTATTTGCTTAATTTCCAATGTTATTTGGACTATTTCGAAATAATTACTGTGTGTGTTCATTCAATTTGTGTAGTTCACTCAATTACCTAGTGGAAATTTTCTGATTTTAGTATATTTGCATATGAATGTGTATGTAAATGGGTGAGTGTGTGAGAGAGAGAGACAAATCTCCCTCTGACTCTTGCTGATCCTTATTGGGTCTCAGATAAGAAATGGAGAATGCCTTTTCAATGAACCCTAGTTTATAAACTTTGGAGAATCATTTAGATGTATTTTTAAACTGAGGTCATTGGCCTACCACTCATCATTCATAGTTAATAATACATCTGAGAATGGTACACTGATACTTAAAATAATTAATGAAGATTACAAATGTAGCTAGCATCTCCAGGAAATCAATTAAAAACTGGATTCTTGAGCTATGAAAAAGAATTAGGTAGACTACTGAACTCTTAATCATGATTAAAGCCAAGCACTGGCTCTATGAGATTTGCCCTTTCCCCAAAGGGTCATAATTCAGATGAGATAATTCTTTCTCAGGAAAGGACCAGTGAACCATCTAGGAAAATCTGTTATGAAATTCCATAGTTTGTTTTTGTTGTTTTTTTTTTTTCTGGATTCAACTGATTACTTTTCTACAGATGAGCCATGCATAATATGAACACTTTTTAGTTACAAATTTATAGATTACATATAGGCAGGTTATGTTCAATGGGTTATGAATAGCATCTATACTTAAGTGTATGTTTAAGTTGAATGTATAGGTAATTGGTAGTGAATATAGAGTTGCTCATGGCTCTCATTTAGTCTTGTTTTATTAAAAGAAGGAGCCCAGTGAGTGGTGCAGTGTGTTACTTGTAGACTATTAACTGGAAGATTGCTGATTCAAATACACCAGTCATTCCATGGGAGAAAGATGGGCAATCATCCCCCATACAGTTTTACAGCCTCACATACTCAAAGAAGGGTCTCTGACTAGGAATAAACAATAGGACAGTGAGTTCAGTTTATTTGGCACAGTGCATGAGAACACTAGAAGTATTATAGTGATTCAAAAGTTGCACGTGCAGCAAGTGAAGATTTCTGCATATAGGAGTTGATTCAGAGTGAGAAAACATATCATTATAGGACAAACCATTCAACTTAACTCACTAACATCAAGTCATAATCTACGTATAGCTGACCCTCCAGTGGGTTTTCAGAGTCTGTAAAACACAGGAGAGGAGATGACTCGTATTTCTTCAGTAAAACAGCTGTTGGATTTGAATTGACAGTGCAAAGAAGATGTATTGCATTAAGAAATTCTGTTGTCAGAGACTTCTCCAAAGTACGGAGGACCAATGATGTCAGTTTACAGAGTAAGATGTGCCTGATTCAGGCCATGGTCTTTTCAACCACTTGCAGTGTAACTGAGAGCTGGACAATGAATAAAGATGACAGAAGAATTGATCCTTTTGAGGTGTGGTGTTGGAGAAAAGCACTGAATATCTCATGTACTGCCAAGAGAACAAACAGATATGTCTTAGAGAAGGTGTAGCTAGAATAATGTGCCTTGAAGGCAAGGATGGCAAAACTTCATCACACATGCTTTGGGCATGTTGATAAGAGAGGCTATTCCTTGGAAAGGACCATCATGCATATAAAGGTGGAGGGTGAGCAAAATGTAGGAAGACCTTCCATGAGATAGATTGACATAGTGACTTCAGCTATAGACTCAACTGTGTCAAGGATCATGAGGATGGTACAAGATAAGACAGGGTTCAGGTCTGTTGTACATAGCGTTGCAATGATTCATAGTTCACTTGAAAGCACCTAACAACAACAAGGCCACCAAAGTTCCAAAAAGGGTGAGTTGTTGTCTAGAAGTCAAATATTGGTAACTCAAGGGTTTATTATATACAGAACTCTTTCTGGCTCTTTTTCTAGGATATGAACTTCTTAGACATTTGAAGATACCAGAAGCCATTGAGTTACTTCTGACCCAGAGAAATACCAAATATGTCAGAGGAGAAATGCTCTGCAGAGTTTTTGGTTTATGATTTTTCAGAAATAAGGTCTTGGATTTTCTTTCCAAGACCTCTTTGCATGAACTTGAACCTCCAATATTTTGGTTAATAATCAAGCTCATTAGCAATATGCACAGGATTGCAACTTTTAGCATTTGAAATAGATGCAATTGATTTTGGAGACATACTTCTGAGATGTCTAAGAGTTGACCTCGCATATTGATAGAATTCTTTTTCTCATTGATGAACTTCAAGAAATCTATTTTTTTGATCTATAGGAAGCTTCAGATTGAAATTTTAGTTTTTCATTGATTTTATATGGCAAGTAATTATTAAATGAATATATCTTCCTTTTTATCTATTCTAGGTTACAGATAAGGTTTCTATTACATTTTTAAGATAGTCTTTTAAACTTCAACATGATAATTCTTTTAAAATACAGTTTACATCTTTAAACTTCCCTCTAATCTATTTGGTAAATATGGTTCGCTGTGTTCAAATTAACATTAATTATTCATTATTTATTATACGGTATTTATTGAGATTTTAATATAGCCAGGCAATTTGTTAAGCACTGTGGATAAAAGCATCATGTTTTCTTGCTAATATCTCTCTCCCATTTTATAGTGAAAGAGAAAATTGGGAGGATCACTCTTTCCCAGCTTTCATTTTTAGTTCTCAGATGCTGGAGTGTCATCTACTGTGAGGGCTTTCAGGCAATCCATTAACCTATGCTTGTTTGAAATCAGGTACCAGCACAGTACTGTTGGCTGAAAGAGAGCGAGATACATCCCCTAATGGTTTTAAGAATTGGGATTTCATGTCTGTTCACACATGGGGAGAGAATCCTGTAGGCACCTGGACTTTGCGAATTACAGACATGGTAAGTATGGATGTCCTTGTGATGGTACAAAAGGTTAAACCATTCAGCTACAAATTGAAAGATTGATAGTTTAAGACCACCTAGATGCGTTTCAGAAAAAGGCCTGGTAAGCTACATCTGAAAAACTGAAACCATTACTAAGTACAGTTCTGCTGACACCGATGGGGTTACAATGAATGAGAATCAGCTCCAGAGACAACTGTTATTGGCATATTAAAAAAGTGCAGGTTTGGTTTTTAACTTTTAAAGCTCTAAAGAGCTTTATACTACTTAGTAAAAATAAGATAAACAAACAGTATTTTTAAAACCTGTGCTCACTCACTACTTATTCCTGACCATTACTTTGGAACGGACCCATGGCTGACCCTCCATTGGTTTTCAGAGTCTGTAAATTGCATTGGACAGATTGATTGCCTGCCTTTCTCCCTTGGAGCCCTTGGTGGATTCAAACTAGAAGAGATGTGCGGCCTTGGGGCTAATAACTCCCCATAAACAGGGCCACCAGAAGTTACATAGAAAATAACAAAAAAAATAAGATAAGCAATGGCCATTCTATAAAAAAGAAGAAAACCTGACACATCAGTTGATAAGTGATGGACAGATCCAGTTGTTCCCATGTCCATATATCATCAGGTGCATGATCCGTTCAACTTCCAAAACTGGCTGCATTCATAGGCTCAGACCTACTTTACTCTGGCACTCTGCTTGCATCACTTGAAGATATTTTTCTAATTACTCATTAAAATATCTATTTAGAAATAGCTATTTGTTAGGCGAAGACATTAATGTGACTTTCCTTTTTTAATTTCAGTGATAAAAAATAGAAACGCATTTCTCATTTCTCTCTTTATTTATTAAGCCTCTTTGATATCACTCTGTAATTGTAACATTCAGTTACAAAAATGAAAGGAAGACTGAAGAGTGTCTGGCCAAGGAGGCAAAATGAAGCTAAATTATTTATTTTTTAATTATCCCTCCAGCATTCTTTATAGGTGGAAAAAAACCCCAAACCATGCATAAATTTGGGCTTTGTAGTTTTTAACTTTGAATTCTCCTAAGAGAAAAGAGAAGTATCTAAAGCACTGGATTTCAGCTTCCAGATAATTTTTTAGAAAAATGTGATTCTAAACTTCTCGAGATGTCTATTAAATATGTAGAAATTCTGTATTCACTGTGATATTCTCAAAGCATAGCTTTCTTTAAAGTCTACAAATGCTATGATTTAGAAATTTAAGGTGTGAAAATTACTGCTCTTAGAGAGTAAGAAAAAGTTTTCAATAATGGATCTTGTTCTTGATTTTGGCTTCTACATACTCTTTAATTCAATTTCACCATCAGGAAACAAGCAAACAAACACACACATACACAAGCAGCAGGATATATTTCATTTTTAATCAGGTCTATAAAATCTGATTCTACATTTTCAAATTTTTTTTCAGATATCTTAAATTTTAGCATATTTACAGTGTGATTGTTGGGTCTGAAAATTATCACTCTTCTTATAAATATACAACATTTAGAGTGTAACTGATGATAAAGATTAATTACGGGCTGACTTTTCCCCCATTAAAATGCTTCTACAAATTGATAGTTGAAAAACATAATTCCATTTATAGAAGGACTCATTTCAGAACATTCATTCAGAAGGACTTTGTTCAGAACATTTTCAATATGAAAAAGTAGGTTTAAATAGAAAATTTTTCTTTTTAAAATTTAGTGCTTAGTTATTAATCAATCAGGTATAAGCTTCTTTAACCTATAAATTACCAATGGTCATATCATGAGTGAATCCTGAAATTAATATCTTTCTACATACCAGAAAGATACTTGCTTGTGCTTTATTTATTATGCAGAGGCATTAGACTATGTAGATTATAACACATTATTGGTAACACTGAGAAGAATGGGAATCCCAAAACAATTAATTGTTCTCATACTTTCTTCATGCTGAGCAAATAATTCATGGAGCTAGACTATATTGAACAAGGTGGCAAAAGGATTGAAGGAAGGCTTCCCAACAGTTTTTGTTACGGAGTTGACATAACCTTGCTTACAGAAAGTGAAGAGGACATACAACACTTGCTGAAAAATATCAGAAGTCTTTGATATTCAATATGGATTATATACATCAATAAAATGGACATCCACACCTCTCCAATAGGCAACATCACGGAGAAAAAAAAATTGATGCTGTCAATATTTAATTTTACTTGGACCCACAATCAACACCCTTGATTAGAAGTCAAGAGAAAGGAAGATATGTTGCATTGGAAAAAACACGCTGTGAATGAAGGACCCTTACAAATGCAAAAGAGCAAGGATGTCCGTTTAAAGACTAAGGTGCATCTGATCCAAGACAGATTTTTTTTTTTTTTGGTTGCTTCCTATGCATCTGGAAGTTAAAAACTCAATAAGGATGATATAAGAAGAATTGATATTTTTGAATCATGGTGTGATAGAAAAATACTGAACAATACTGGAAAGTCAAAAAAGCAAGCAAGTCTGTCTTGGAAAAAGTACAAACAGGGCTCTCTTTAGAGGCAGCAATGGTGAAAACCGATCTCACCTACTTTGGGCATGTTGTCAGAAGGGACCAGTCCATGGGAAAAGACACTATTCTAGAAAAAGCAGAGGATCAGAGATAGAGATAAAGACCCTCAACCAGGAGGGCTTGACAATGATTGTGACAATGGAATCAAGCGTATCAGAGATCCTGAGTATGGTGTAGGAGAGGATAAGTTTCCTATTTGTTGTTTATAGGGTTTCTGTGAGTCATAGTCAATTTAAAAACACAACACATAGAGAGCTCTATGCCTGGAAGGCACAGGGTTTTCAAAAAATTATTGTAATTAGGAAATATATCTCTTCTAAGTATTTTGAATGAGTTTACTGTGTATTACTCAAAACCATATGTATTTTTATTCTTTAGTCTGGAAGAATGCAAAATGAAGGAAGAATTGTGAACTGGAAGCTGATTTTGCATGGAACGTCCTCTCAGCCAGAGCACATGCATCAGCCTCGTGTGTATACATCCTACAATACTGTTCAGAATGACAGAAGAGGAGTGGAGAAGATGGTGGATTTGGGACAGGTCGGTGATGCTTTGTTCTTGTTGATATGCTTTCCTGTAGCAGACAACATAGTGAGTGAAACAGCATCTAACTTTTAAGCAGGAAAAAAAGTAGACTTGGTGGTAGGGGATAGCAATGCCAAACTGTCAATTCCTGTAGGATGAAATCCTATTAATTTTCTCATTAGTTTTGTGTCCTGAGTTTAGGAACTAAAATTAATTCATTCAAAATTATTACTTTCCTTACATGATTTTTTTCTACTTATGACAAATGATTGTAAAGAAAGTTGATTATGTATGATCAGATATATTTACCTAAAGTTTGCTTTGAAATTAATTTTATAAGCAGTTCATCCTATTTATTCTATTTAACCTATTGTCTTACTCACAGCCATAAAGTCAAAACTGCCATACTCTTACTCATTGCCATAAAGTCAGAACTGACTCATAGCTGAGAGGGTTAAACCAGGCTGTTCCTTGGAAGCAAGGATTCTAAAGCTTTGTCTGACATATTTGGACATGTTGCAAGGAGGGACCAGACCTTGGAGAAGGATGTCATGCTTGGGAGGGTGGAGGGACAGTGCAGAAAAGAAAGACCCTGTATAACGTGGATTGATTCAATAACTGGGGTGATTGGGGTAGGCGTATCAGAGACAGTAAGATTGGCACAGGATAGAGCAGGGTTTATGGCTGTTGTACATAGGGTCGCTATGAGTCACAGGTGACTCTACGGCATATAACAACAGATCAAGCAGGAAGAGATTGCCCCTCTTCCTCCTACAGAGCAACTGGTGGATCAGAACTGCTTGCCTTTGTCTTGGGAGTGCTACTCCTTACCTACTAATCCACCAAAAGCCTCTTTGCCCGCTTGTGCTGCTGTAATAGAAATAACAAAAGTGGATACCTTTAACAAATGGGCTTATTTTCTTTTTTTTTTATTTTTATTGTATTATTTTTACATGTACCGTCAAGTCAGAGCTGACTGGTACAGGAGGAGATTGCCCCCTCCTTCTCCAGCAGAGCATCTGGTGGATTTGGACCCATTTTATTACTATTTAAGGGATTAAAAGTTTCAGTTTAGGTTGCCAGTTCTAGAAGAGTGTCAACAAAAGAGAGAAATGATGCTCTCTACTAGATGAACTATGACAATGAGCTCTAGGATGGCAGATTGTAAGGATGGCATCGTAAATAAAGGGCAAGCTTCTGGTCTGCTCTTCATAGATCAATAAGAGTCTCAGCTGACTCAAAGTCATCTAACAACAGCAACAGCTCTTGGAGAAAGCATTTTTCGCTCCTGGCTCTGGAGAAAGGTCCTTGTCTCTTCCGAGTTTCTGTTCCTGGTGATGTTCATATGACTTGACGTCTCTCTTTTTTTAATCTATGCTTCTTAGCTGAATTATTTAACCTCTTTTTACATCTCAAAAGATATTGAACCAAAATACACCCCACACTAGTTATGCCTGATTAACATAATAAAGTCGACCCATTTCAAATGAGGTTATAACCACCAGCACTGAGATTAGGATTTATAACATATATACGGGGAGAAACAATTCAATCCTTCCACCTGTAATTGTGTAATCTAGAAAGGAAACATGCCACTATATCCATTTTTCAGAAAGCAAAGCAAGACTCAGGTGGCCACATCATGTAGGTTTCATTTAACTGATCCCTTAACCAACACTTCTTGCTAACACCAAGGGACATTATAGAATCATAATTTCTTTCTGAACATTTAGGAAGATCATGAAAGTCAGTCCTTTGAGTTTCTGCATCTCACTCTGCTGAAATTGCTAGTCTCTGCATATTAGAAGGTAGAGACTCTATTTTCTCTCCCCCCCCCACCCCCAGCCCCCATTGAACTCAGTGTCTCAAATTAAGGCCAAAAGATCTGCTTTTCTAGGCCAGCCAGTCCTGAACACCACCCAGTCTGTACTGGGTCCCCTCTGGAGACAGAAACTAGCTGTAATTTCAGTTGTGATTCTGGTCTCATTTACATTATGTACAAGAGGTTTCTTTCAGGACCTGGTCTTCACAGTTCTAAAGGCAAGTTAACCTTGTAGGTGGTTCTTTTCTCTGTAAATCCTTAAGGAATATCAAGAGGGGCCCTTCCATTGTTAAAACGTTGACATGCATCTGAAACGGTACAAAAAGATGCTTCTCAGATCTTTTCCAGTTCCCTTTATCTGGCTCAACAACCCAGTTTTGCCCCGTGACTCCTTTTTACAATGTGGCACATAAAAGGATAGCTCTTGATACACCAAGTAGTTTTGGGGGCCTGCTTTGGCACTATAGCATCTAGCCAGTGCTGTCTGCATATGTTAAGTATCATCTCCCACCCCAAGTGGATTCCAGTACTGCAGAGCCAGCAAATGAAGAACCTTGACCCCAGCACTTGCATGCATTGCATCATGCAATCTTTAAAGCCACTAGGAAATGGAGGTATTCTTATGCCTATTTGACAAATTGAGGCTCAGAGATATTCTGAGTGAGGATTCAAGCCTGAGACTGTGTAACTCTAAACTCGGAGTCCATCCTACTGGTGATGGTGGGTCCATAATAGGGGTTCATTAGCGATGTAGCTCACTTGTCTATCCATTAATAATGAACATTCTTCCCTCCGTCTGTGGTATCGGGTGTTGCAGGAACTGCCTACACCAGAGAACGTGAGTGAGAAACCCCCGGTGGCAGAGAGTTCCAGCAGCAGCATTTTGGGGGACAGCCGGGGTGAGATGTCGGAGGGAGCCCCGTCCGAGGCCATGCTGCGGCTTCTACAAAGTGCTTTCAGCAAGAACTCGTCCCCAAAGCAGCCGCCAAAGAAGTCTCCTAATGCAAAGCTCAACATCCCTTATGAAAGTTTCTATGAAGCCCTGGAGAAGCTGAACAAACCCTCTCAGCTTAGAGACTCTGAGGACAGCCTGTACAACGATTATGTTGACGTTTTCTATAACACGAAACCATATAAGCATAGAGATGACCGGTTGCTTCAAGCTCTGGTGGACATCCTGAATGAGGAAAATTAAAATGAGGGTGTGAGTCTGAGGCAGAAATATTCACGCTTCCTCCTGCCCCTTAGATTTTGCCTGTGTCTAAAGTGATCATTTTGTCATTGATCTTTATGATTAAAATATCCTTTGTGATAATTTTCCTTTTTCTCCCCAAACTCTAAATTTGAAGGGAATGAGATAGAGTAGGAAATCCCACGTCTGAAGTGATGATAGCTCTTTCACAACGTGTCTTTGCTCCCTGCACAGGTGAAATACTCTGTCTAGAGTTCAGCCCATGCTTCAGATGACCTGCCTTCTGGAGTCCTCTCATTTCATTCCTCAAAAAGAAAAGAAAGCAAAACTTAGACAATAGATTAACTTGAAAAGTGAAAATTCAAAAGAATGAGGGAAGAAAATTATTCTAATAACTTGCTTGCTATCTTTGACATGTTGTTATCTGTTACTGAGTCAGGCTTAACTCGTATCTTCACTGAGGGTGGCAGAGTGGAACAGTGCTCCACTGACTTGTCAGTCACTGGTTTTGGGGAAGTAGATTGCCAGACCTTCCTTCCATGGCACTTCTGAGTGAACTCAAACCTCCATCTTTTTGGTTAGCAGCTCATTATGTTAATTATTTCTACCCCCCAGGAACTCCTGTCTTTGTTCTTATCTTTTCATTGTTGTTAGGTGCCACTGCGCCCAACTTATTGGCCTTGTGTAACAGAGTAGAACAGCCCCATAGAGTTTTCTTGGTTGTAAGCTTTTTGGAAGCAAATAGACAAGTCTTTCTCCCATACAGCCTCTGAGCAGATAGCACTATGTTTCTGTTTATAGCCAGTCGCTTAACTGTTGTACCACCAGAGTTTTTTGTCATAAGATTCTTCAGTGTTTGAAATCAGGGAAGCATTTGGAAAAGTCTATAGTGAAAGATTTCACACTTACATCTATACACCAAGCTTTTCTGCTCCAAAGCACTACTCACATAGTGGTGACAATCTGGTGGAAACCCTGGATCATTCAGACCTTGAAGTCTGAATTATCTGTTTCAGCAGTTCTAGAATATCCTTTTTTGGAGTGTCATGTAAGATGGTCCCATGGATCTGCAGGTCTCATGATGTGTGTTGTGGTCTTTGTCTCCTTCCCTTCTAGTTCCCTCAGCCAGTCCCTTTTCTCAGCAAATTAAATATTGAAAGAACCATCTATATACCACTTTCTCCAAACAAGTATCTACTTCTTGTTGCATAGGATTGAGTTGGAACTGACTCATAGCAGACCCTCCAGGGGGTTTAAAGAGGCAGTTAATCACACAGGAGATGGCCCATCACTCTCCCACAGAGCAGCTGATGACCTTGAACCATGTGCCTTTGGGATTGCAGCACAGCTCCTTGCCACTAGACCACCTGAGCTCCCTAGTATCTACTTAGGACTTAACAAATTCCCAGTTATATTTTTAAAGACATTAATAAGCAAAATATAATTTATAATGGAGAGAACTGATGTAATACCAGGAAAATACTCTTAATGAGAAAGAATGGTAAGTTTTACAGGTTTTTGAATCTATGAAGTTAAAAATTCATTTCTTGAGATACTAGCACATTTTTCAGGTATATTTTCATGTGCTAACCTGAAGAGTGCTTGCTTTTAAAAAAAATTTGAGTAAGTATGTAGAGTGTTACATTTCTTATAAAAACCTGCTTTTTGAGCCCGTGTTCTTTCCCATGTTTAATTGGAGGTATGTAGCAACTGTTTGGTAACACTTGAGAATTCCCATAGTTCCATATTACTCACATTAGTCTCCTTATTCATTACTTGTCAGTATCCAGTATCAGAATTTTGTAAGCAAAGGAAGTTCCAGTGGCCTCGTGGGTAAGGAATTGCACGCAAATCTAAAGGCATGAAGTTCAAATACACCAGGGACTCCTCAAGAGAAAGATAGGAAATCCCCCTTGTGCCATTTACAATCTCTGAAAACTCTGTAGAGGATAGCTATGACCTACTCCTGCATGAAATGAATGGTTAAACTCAAAACCAAACTCACTGCCAATGAGTGACTTCCAACTCATGATGGGTTTCTGAGCTCTAAGTCTTTACATGATACTGCCTCAGCTTTCTCCCACAGAGCAATTGGCGAATTTGAACCACCAGCCTGATTACAAAATGTAATCAAGTGTATTAGGTGCAAAACAAACAAACAAACCCCTCTGCTCTCATTTTCTTCTAAGTATGATTTTAAGAAGGTCAGTAATTATTAGAATATGTTTTGTTCCAGTTAATTTATATCACATTTATAGGCCTAAAGTCAAACAAAGTACTTTAGTTCATTGAATCAAACTAAAGGCAATGTCTTCAAGTTGAATACCACTCAAAGCAACTCTCTATCTGGTTTATGAGGCTATAAAACTTGAAGGGCTGTAGATTGCTTTTATTTTTTTCCTCAGAGTCTCTGGTAGATTTGAACTCCACCCATTCTTTTGGTTATGAAGCCAATACGTTACATATTATGCCACTTGGGCTCCTTGGCTTACAGAAGCAGCTCTGAGATCTAGTTTTCTACACTCATTTAATCTCATCTCACCTAGTATTAGTGTAATAAATTACACTAATATATTTCCAACCTCCTAGCTTCTCACCCTATCAGCTCTCTAAAGTTCCATTCACTTATCAAATTATCTTTGTTGTTGGAAATCCTTCCACAAAGTGTGAATTTCAGAAGGTCACATGAGACATTCAACTAGTCCAAGATAAGTAAATGAGACTGCCCTCTGCTTTAGATTAATCAAAGTGTGGTGGATAGAGCACATTTTCACCTCTACAATGTCATCTGGATTTGTGCAGACCATGAGTATTTTCAGAGCATGACCCATGAGGTTTAGATGATGTCTCTAAAAGAAATTCAGGACCATTCTGTCCTTAAACATTTCACATGCTGTTTGATGTGGAGTGTTGAATGGAATTTTTAATATTGCAGCACATCAAAAAGTTATGAGCTTAATTTTCGAGTAAGAAACAAAAATTGAGAAAGTTGAAAAGGAGTAGTAAATGAAAGAGCAGGGCTAAAACCCTTCCTTTCCCCTCGTCTCCCTTTCCTAATTTAGTAGAGCACTGTGGCAGAGTCCGCAGGGACTCAGGCTGCTAGTAAAAGGTTATGCCTCTCTAATAGTTTGAATCTACCAGTAACTCTGCTGAAGAAAAATTAGCAGTCCCCCACCCCTTTGATTTACACTGGACACCCAGCGCTGCCTGGGAACCAGTTCAATGGCAACGAGACAGAGGATGAGAACCTATTGCTAGAAACCTGATGAAACAGTGGTAAAGCACTGGACTGCTAACCGAAAGGTTGGATGTTGGAACCTATCAGTTACTTTGTGGGAGAAGCGATGTGACGGTCTGCAGTTAATGCTCTCTTGTTAACCCTCACACAGTAGCTTTTCTTGGTTAGATACCAATCAACTCCATGGGTTATAGCCAAAGGTTCACTCTAGAGAAGCTTTAATATTTAAATAAAAATCAATGTATGAATGTTTCCAACTGGAGTATATTGTTCAGATAAAAAATATTTTTATTATTAGTCTTTCTTAGTGCCTGTGTGGATTTTTTTTCTTTTGTCACATGTAAAAGAGGAAACTTATATTTCCTTCAGAATTTCAAAGAATATTTTCTTTACAGGTATTTATAATGTACCAATGCTTTTATCAAACAAAATTTTAAAAGGCATAATAAATTCTATTAAAGAACTAAAAGTTTTCCTAAGAATAAGAAAGTTTCATCCAATAAAATATTTTTGAAAAGCATGTTCCTCTATCAATGAAAAGTTATAATATGTATGTGTTGTGATATTAAAAGTGATATTTGTCTAATAGCGTAATACAATGTGTTAAATAAGTTTTAACGTGCGTGATCTTAGCATTCTTAAGAGAAATCTCACAATATACACTTGATGTATTAACCAAAATATGTAAAATATGCTTATCAATCAGAAGAATAAATGGTTTTCTCACTAAGGCATAAAGAAAAAAAGTTCATGATTCCAACAAAAACACAATCTATCTCTCTTCCTTACTCTGTTCCTCAAACGGATTATATTATAAAAAAGAAAAACTAGAAATTTAATTCAGAAGTTAATTTCTGCTTAGAAAAATGGCCCTTGCTGGAGGGCATTTACGAATATATTTTACATGGATATGTTTAGGGTTTTTTTTCACAACATAGCAAGTTGCTTTTCTAACAGTCTGTTGTGTTGTATGAGGAAGCTTTAACTGGGACGGGGCGTGGGGAAGTGGTGGGGGTGGTGGTGATTGTGGTAAGGGGGGTGGAAGCTAAAATATATAAGTGTATGTGAAAGAAATTATTTCTAACAGCTCACTGACATGACTTTGTTTATAAAGCCAAGGTAAAAGTACCGTTAGGTACTATTTAGTTGGCTGTAACTCACAGAGACCCTACATGTGACAGAATGAAACTCTGCCCAGCCCTCATCATCCTCAGAATCTAAGTAACTTAAGCTTGTTATTGGAGTCACTTATGTCAGTTCATCTGGTTAAAAGTCATCTTTGTTTTCCCTGGCTTTCTACTTAATCAAGAATGCTATCTCCCCCCACCCCCCCAAGCAACTAGATCCACCTGAAAATATGGCCAAAATACATAAAATGAAGTTTTGCCATCCTTTCCTCCGCGGAGTGTTCTGGCTGTACTCTTTTGTTTGTTTGTTCTTTTGACAGTCTATGGGATATTCAGTAGTCTTCAGGAATACAAGTCAAAGACATCAATTCTTTTTTAATTTTCTCTGTTCTTCAACTTTCACATGCCCATGAAAGGCAAAAGAAAAAAAAGAACAAAAAAACCCACAAACAACCCTCAAACTACCCTTGAGTTTGAATCGACTCTTAGCTGACTCTGGTGGGTTTTCGGAGGATGTACGCTGCATGCTCCTTTTCCGTAAAGAGCCACTAGTGGTTTTGAACTGCAAGAGAGCTATGCTTTTAGGTAAACTGCAGAACTGCTTATATTCTAGGACACCAGAATTCCCTCTACATGCATATCAGGCTTGAATTAGGCACACTGTAGTCTTTAAAGTGATGAGATTTTGTCTTTAGCATGTTACAGAGGACTCCTGTAGTTTATTTGCCCATTGAAATGAGTCATTTGATTTCTTGATTGCTGTGTCCATGGACCTTTTTCGTGGATTCAAGTAAAATAGAATCCTTGGCAAGTTCACTCTCTGTTTATCATGGTGTTGTTGGCCTAGTTGTGAGAATTTGGGAGTATTTTTATGTTGAGGTGTAATCTGTATT